TCAGACATTTGTACCAGTTGAGGTGCTGGGCTGCCAGTTGCTGTGAATCCAGAAGCTGTGAGTGACACAGCTATTCTTCAAGACACTCCTTACCTTTTGCCCCCTACTGTGGTTGGCACAGCATTAGAAGGCACAACCAAAAGCAGCAATTGTGGCATTTGGGGAGATGAAAATACATGATAGGCTGGGTGGGTGTAAAAAGTTTTATTGGAAAAACTGACTATGAAAGAAGGTTCTGTATCAACATAGACTTGGGTGCAGGGATTGTGGGAACAGGTTTTACCCCACATTGTAGCTACAAGGGCTGTCAAGAGATTAAAAAAATTAATCGTGATTAAGTGTGAAATTAATCATGCTGTTAAACAATAATAGAATACCATTTATTTAAATATTTTTGGATGTCTTCGACATTTTCAAATACATTGATTTCAATTACAAGCACTGTGCACTTTATATTCTGTGTTGTAATTGAAATCAATGTCTTTAAAAATGTAGAAAAACATCCAAAATATTTAATAAATTTCAATCGGTATGCCATTGTTTAACCGTGCAATTAATCGCGATTCATGTTTTTTAGTTAATCGTGTGAGTTAACTGTCATTAATCGACAGCCCTAGTAGTTACCATTTCTATCAACCTGTTTTACCTGTGAGACTGACGTGTTATCTTACACGTGCACCTCTTCTGTCACATCATGTTAAGTAAGGTATAATTGTAGTCTATTAGACTGCTAGAACCAAAAGATAGTGCATGACAGCAGCTGTCAGCACGTCACACAGAAAAGCATCAAATGTTGAATTATACTAGTTTCATATCACATTAATGTGGCAACTCTTTATGCCCAGTCGCAAGGGGACAGCCAGGGCTTAATTTGCGCCGGGGCTCAGTTTGTGCCTCTAGCTTGGCAGGTTGTAGCCCCAGCACCTCTGGGCTTCCCACGTCAGTTACCGGTACTGGGGTACAGCAGGAGACTCATTCTGGCCACAGAGCACCCTTTCTGCTCTGGGGCTGCAGCTGCTTTGCCCACAAGGTCCAACGCCACCGCCTCGCCTGCACCCCTGTGCGAGGCCAGCAGCGCGCTAAGCCTGCCCAATGCCCAATGCCCAGTGGCTGTGGCTAAATCGGCACAAGCTGAGCTCCCACATCCTGGGCAGAGAGAGTCTTCTGGGGCCGGGGACATCACCCCCCAGCAGCGCTTCCGCCAGCGCCCCCTTGCCTTACTGGGGGGGGCTCCTGCCAGGAGGCCGCTGCCCCCTGAGGGGCCCAGGAGAGGCAGAGACTCCCCAGTGCTGTCAGTGAGGAAACAGGCGAGCTGCCAGAGAGTGGGGAGGTGACCAAGCAGCCAGGGCACAGTGTGGGGCGGGGGAAATGGACACCAGGGCAGGGAAGCTCCAGGAGGCAGCCTGGCGCTGTGGGCATGGCCACGCTGGGGGACGCAGAGCAGGCTCATGGAACAGTCAGAGAGGGGTCCACAACATGCACTCTGGCTGAGAGGCGCTGACCAGTGCCTAATTTGTGCCGGGCTGAGCTCCAGGACCTCCAAGCTTGGCAGTTCATAGCCCCAGCGCTTCTGGGCTTGCCCCAATGGTTAGGAACATAAAAAAATTGCTTGAGATCGACACCTAATTGCTTGAGTCCTGGCACCTCTTTCATTACAAATTAAGCACTGGGGACAGCTTCAGATTTTCTCACTCACAATTAGTAGCACCTTACTTTGCAAATAGTCCCACTGAAATCAATGGCACTGCTCATGTTATAATGTGAGTTTCAGCTAAGGTATCAGAATGTGGCCCTGGATATATTTTTTTATTTATTTACACTTGCCTATAACAGAATTGCAGGCATTCTATTATGAATATATTCCCTTTTTTTTTCTACACAGTATGGTCTTTGTCGTGGGGAAACATGAGTCTCTCTCCCAAATCCTTAAACAAAACTAGTTCGTCATCTTATTGCAGCATTGGTACACAGGGGGTGACTAATGTGGACAAAATTTTGAACCCATTAAAAATCAAGAGGAGTTTTGTCATTGACTTCCGTGGGACGCAGACTACACAGGTTTAGTACCCTGCAAATCATCCAGAGAGAGAGAGATTACCAGCTGAACCAAAAGAAAAGAAAATCTATCAAAGCAGGTGTCACGGTAGCCAGCTTCTTCCCATCCAGAGCTGACAGCACCAGGTAGTTTTAATTTTGGCTGGAAGTTTAGACCTCAAATTTGCAGATAGCTCCACAAGTGCAAACCCTTACTCCTGTGCTGAATCCTAGTAAAGCCAACAGACGATGAGAAAAAGTAAGTGTCCATGCTTGTAGAGCTCTTAGCTGGATAGAAGTCTTAATGAACTTGGACCCAGATCCCCAAAAGTATTTAGTCTCCTTGTAGGTTACTACCGAACACCCTCAGTCTTGTTATTCAGTGTTCTGGCTTAAAGATTGGCTCCATATTCAATAATAGGGTCCCTTCCTGCCAGGATGTGATAGCTGTGTATTGTGATGATGGTCATGTTAGACTATTTCCTTCCCTCCTTTATGATGGTTATAAACAACTGAGATAATATGAGAAAAAATAATTCATTCTGTAAATTTCTAAGTATAAGATAAAGCAGTATGTGCAAAATACTGCCCCTCCCCCCCGGTTTATAGAGTTTAAGTATATTTATAAGAGAAGAAAATCCTTTTGATATACTGGAAAAATATGCGTTATGGATGATAGGGAATATCTGATACTAACCAAAAATGCTCACTAAATCCTCAGCTAAATCTATGTCTAGAAGAAGTCTTGTCAACTAGCACAGACTACAGTCTTGTCAACTACCACAGACCACAGTCTGAGGTCATCTTTGAGACATCCTTTTGGTGCTTTGTCAGACTCTTGTGGGAATTCACAGTGCTCCTCCTCTAATCGTTCAGGTATCACAGGAAGAAGAGGCATAGCTTGAAACCCCAACCTGTTCAGGATGTATCAGTTTTCCCTACTGATCTCTTCCTTCACTTACTGAGTAAAAGCTAATTAGCTAGTCTGCGTGGCTTCCAGCTCCAAGCTACACCCTACAGTCAAGCCAGCCAGACACCACCTCAGTGTTGTGTCTAGCTCCAAAGAAAACCAGGGAGTAGTACATAACTCTAGGAATGTCCATTCCTAGGTTGCTGCAGAAGTGATGACCATCCAACCTGCGTGCATATTACTTGGGCTCCAGGGCATCTGCCAGACCCCTGATAGCACATACATATTTATATTTTGTTGCACGTCTCAATATTGTTAATGGCTGAGATTCAGAATAATATTCACCAAGAGTGTTTTTGATGCATTTTTGGGAATAACCACTTTCATTATTGGGCTAGTTCTGTACATAGTTAAATACATTCATACAATAAATTAGTCGGGACTTTTTCCTAATCCTCAAATTTTATTCCAATGCACCAGATAAATGGGGATAGAATTAGGCCCTATATGTGCAAGGTGGGTGAGTCATGGTTCCCATAATAACATTAACGTTTCCTTAGCTTGACTTTCCTCCTTCAAATCCCTCCTCAAGTCCCACATCTTCAATGATTCCTACAAGAAATGGATGAACCAGTGATGGGTAGGTTCAGAGACAGTCAAGGCTAGTTTGGGGGCAGTTGGGGATAGCTTATTTATTCATGAGGAAAACCCTTTAAAATTAATTGGAGCCATCAAACCCTGCACACAGATAGCCTTTTCCCATGTAATGGCATTATTTTCTTCAGTGAAGTTATACCTCACTTACACTGGTGTACCTGAGAGATCTCTGTGGGCCAGGTTCAAAGAATTATGCCCTAAATAACAGTATCTATGCTGTGCTGTAACAGTGGCTTTTTGCCACTAAACCAAATAGTCATTTCACCTTGTCCAGGAAAAAAGCAGATCTACTGCCAAAATCCCCGTCTAGCAATCAGAAATAAAGGACAACAATAGTCCCTAAATTACACTTCATCAGCCAAATATGGATAGTTTGGTTCTTCTAATGGTTTATAATGTTCTTATGAAGATTTTATTGCTTCCACTCCATCCTCCACATTTCAATGCCCTCGTCACAAATGTCTTCAAATAATATCATGCGCAGGCTAAACAGCAGACATCCCCCCTATGAAAGAAAACCCAATGGCAGCAATCACAGCAACCCCTCTTCAGTTTGGGAAGTGTCTGCACTGTATAGTGTACAAATTTAGTACAGTCTTATGACTCTGTATGCAGACAAGGCAGAACCTCTAAGCCAGGCTATTGCACATTATTTCTTGTACTGAAACACCGAGAGTTGTTTCAGAGTAACAGCCGTGTTAGTCTGTATTCGCAAAAAGAAAAGGAGTACTTGTGGCACCTTAGAGACTAACCAATTTATTTGAGCATAAGCTTTCGTGAGCTACAGCTCGACACTAACTAGCTGCGGTAGCATCCCCAAAGCCCATGTACTGAAACAAGTTATTCTGATCATGCAGGGCACAAAAAAAAGAATATGCCAGTCTGGAAAATTGGTGTTTCCTCTCTTGCACTCCTTCCCTTCCTCCCTCTAGCTTTCCATCCTGTGTCATCCTACAAGTGCATGTTGTTGTCTAGGACCATTATTCAAAGCTCTCTGCTGCAGTAACAGGACTTGTGAAGCAAGTAATGGCAGGAGTCCCCAAAGGAGGCTATGGCAAGGCCAGATTAGGAGGCTCAGGCCCAGATCCTTTATGGTATTTAGAAGATCAATGCTTTTTGTCTGTTCAGTTTTACTTCAAAGGTTAACATTTAACCGAAATGGCACAAACTTGGCCTGGGTCTCTGGCTCCGTTCCTTTCATGCAAGATCACAGGCAGTAAGCTCCAATAAACACACAAGCAAAATCTGTAAACCACACAGGTAACTCTTGTGTTTCCCCAGAGCCTCCTGCTCTGGTTTCTAATCAGCTCAATGCCCCAGCATCTCTTTGCTTCCAGAGAATAACCTCGTCTAAATTGACTCAACTGCACCCACTACGTTCCCAGCTGTGCATTCTTACCTGAGCTGCCTCTGAATTCTGGCAGGAAATTAACCTCCCAACTCCAGGTTGCTGGTTGACTTTGTGGGGCTTCCTTCTATGGCACCTCTGGGGTGGAGTGCTGCAAGGTTGCATGGTTCACCCTGGAGTATCAAATGACCTGAATACCCAATCACAATGATGCTGTATAATCTATCCACCGGTATCCATACCCCCTTGGCACATCGCACGGTGAACAAGGGCCTGTGGAAAGATATACTCTCCCAATCAAATGATTCCTTCCACAGCTACTGTGCAGTGGATCTGTACAGCTTTTCCCAGTACTCTGATCAGCTGCCATCGGGCAATGTGCATGTATTGCAGTTCCACACTAGTAGTTGCAGAGTGTCTGTCTGTGCACCATGCACTCTAACCAGGAGCAACTGCTTGCTCAGTGTGTACTTATTAATTTACTAACAGCAAATGACCAACTGGCGACTGGATTCTTTTTGTATCACATGCAGCTGAACTCTGATGACCCAAGCCCTCCCACGCTGTGTAAAGCAGCAGCATTGGTTTCTTGGACTTTTCTACTGAATATAGAGTATGACTTACTCCTTTCCTCTAAAAAAAAGGAGGACTTGTGGCACCTTAGAGACTAACAAATTTATTTGAGCGTAAGCTTCCGTGAGCTACAGCTCACTTCATGGGATGCTTATGCTTATGCTCAAATAAATTTTGTTAGTCTCTAAGGTGCCACAAGTCCTCCTTTTCTTTTTGCGGATACAGACTAACACGGCAGAAATCACCTACTACAGGAGAGGCCCAACAAGGAAAATAACAGAAAACCACCACCCATCACGTACAGCCCCCACCTAAAACCTCTCCAGGACATTATCAATGATCTACAACCTATCCTGGAAAATGATCCCTCACTCTCACAGACCTGGGGAAGCAGGCCAGTCCTCGCTTATAAACAGCCCCCAACCTGAAGCAAATACTCACCAGCAACTGCACACCACACCACAGAAACACTAACCCAGGAACCAATCCCTGTAGCAAACCTCGTTGCCTACTCCGTCCCCATATCTACTCTAGCAACACCATCAGAGGACCAAACCACATCAGCCACACCATCAGGGGCTCATTCACCTGCACGTCTACCAATGTGATATACGCCATCATGTGCCAGCAATGCCCCTCTGCTACGTACATTGGCCAGTCCGGACAGTCCCTACGTAAAAGAATAAATGGACACAAATTGGATATCAGGAATAGTATCATTAAAAAGCCAGTAGGAGAACACTTCAATCTCCCTGGACATTCTATAACAGATTTAAAAGTAGCCACACTTGAACAAAAAAACTTCAGAAACAGACTTCAAAGAGAAACAGCTGAACTAAAATTCATTTTCAAATTTAACACCATTAATTTGGGCTTGAATAGGGACTTGGAGTGGCTGGCTCATTACAAAATCAGCTTTGCCTTTCCTGGAATTGACACCTCCTAATCTGTTATTGGGAGTGGACCACATCCACCCTGATCGAATTGGCCCTGTCAGCACTGGTTCTCCACTTGTGAGGCAACTCCCTTCTCTTCATATGTCATTATATAATGCCTGCATCTGTAATTTTCACTCCATGCATCTGAAGAAATGTTTTTTTTACCCATGAAAACTTATGCCCAAGTAAATCTGTTAGTCTTTAAGGTGCCACCAGACTCCTTGTTGTTTTTGTGGGTACAGACTAACACGGCTACCCTCTGATACTTCCCTGAGGCTGAATCTCTAAAGCAATCTTTACATAAGTTCTTTAAAGCAAGATACCACTCAGATTTGCCAGTTGACACATTCAGCCAAAGTGTGCTCTCAGTTCTGCTAACGTCCATGGGATTGATCTTAGCCCTTTACTTCCCGTTCCCTGTACTAGAGCAGCTTATGAGCTCACTAGAAAGCATGAGGGAAATGACGTAGGCTTGTGTAATGCCTGATGTGGATTCCAACTACATTTGAGCTCACTATAGAAGAGCTTCACAATTCAATTAGAATAGCTCACATCCAGCAATTACAAGATAAACAGAAAATTACCATTTAGAGATGCATTTCTCCTAACACTAGTTCCAGGAGGGGTGTAACAGAGATCAATTATAGACCTACAGTACCAGAAAACTGCACGTGAAACGACTGAATTTCTTAATATATTTTCTTTACCTTCACGTACCCTCCTCCATGTGCACAGAGGAGCCTGGATAAAATGGAACCCCTATGGCTTCTCTGCACGGGCAGGATTCTGGAAGCCTGTGCGGGGGCCCACATATCCTGGAATGGTACACAACTCTATCGGGACTCTTTGTGCCACAGTGCACAGACGAGATGTAGTTGGGGGATGGGTTGGCGAGTCAATCTGCCAAACATCACCTGGGGAGAGTAGGTAACTACCAGAGCCCACCAAATCTTTCACTGCTAACAAAATACTAATAAGATTTGGGCTTTTTTTTTTTTTTTTTTTTTTTTTTGCAAAGGGTCTGAAACACGATCCTGATATTCTCAACTGGTGGCTCACATCCATTCTATGCTCATGGCCTCATTCCACTGCAGATATTTCTGAATGCTTTGGGGCCAATGGCAAACTGTTCATTGTTGGCACACCTCCCAGTTATTGATTGCTGAAGTCACATGGTGTGTTCTTCTGTCCCTCTGATTGGATGACCTAATATTTATGGACAAGAAGAGTTCCTGAAGAAAATGCTGGGGCTCTCACCCTCAGGGAGAATGTGGGAGCACTTCAGGGAGAGAGCTGTGGAAGGTGAGCAGTGAAACACTGTTCCTATTCTCCCTTGTACACAAAAGGGGGTTATATTTGTCTACATGCATGGACCCTACATTTAAAAATAGCTGTGTTCCCTCCTGACTAAGGGAGGGTGCAAGATATATGCCAGATGTATTGTCTGCTTGGCATATTTGAGTCTTTCTCGGCATATCATAGGAAGTAATATGGCCTCCCTTCCTCCCTAACTGGAGCTGCTGATTGCTGGCCCTCTTTTTGCCTGGATGATGGCAGCAGAGCTGATGGGCCTCCTCCTTGTCAACAGCCTTCCCAGCATTGTAGCAGCAGGTCACTGTCAAGGCTTGTGACCATATATACAGCCCTCTGCCATGTGCAGAGATGGCTCCACAGGGCAGTTTTCTTGGGGTGCTGATTTTCCCTCCCCATCACTTTGCTAGGTGTTCTCACTGAAGGCACATTGCTACATGTTCTGGGCCTGAAACACATGCAAAATATTTCCAGACAAGTGTCCTTTCTGTTCCTCAAACATCCCCCCTCCTTAGCTCCTGTTTTCCCCCTCTTCTCCCCACTGCTGCTCTCCCTGATATTGTTTGAGAGAGCCAATGATTTAAAACTCTCCTCTTGCCGCCTAACATCCTCACAGCTGAGCACACAAAGCCAGTATATGGAAGGGAGAGTGTACCAGCACTGCTGACAAAGGGGCCCATAACCATGGGTGAGTTCTGGTATTTGCACAAATTAAAACTCCTCCTCCAAACATAGGTGCCAACAAAAACTGGCCATCCAAATGTTTGTGCAAAGGGAATAAAAAGGGCAGAAACGTGACCAGATGGAATCACTAGCCAGCTTTAGCAAACACGCTTGCTAATTAATTTTTCCATTGTTTGCCCAGCTTTGTATGTAACTGAGACCAGAACTGGGTTTATCAGTAATTACCAAAAATTCTGAAATTTTACCTATCAGCATACTGTGTTACTACCCAGTGTACTGATCTGTGAACTGTGTATCTCTTAGTCATTTCTCAGAAATATTTTAAAACTCAGCACTCGTATTTACTGTTGTTGTCTTTGTAAAAGGGGGTGAAAATTACTTATGTATCAGATCTCATTATGAAAGTTTTTCAAATCTAATGGCCTGTTATCTTCATGGCTCTGTCAGTGTACTCTCTGGCTGCAGTTAGGGCTCATAATCTGTGGTTTGGAAATCAGTTCACTAGAACTCGAAACACATTTCCCCATTCCACAGTGACACCTGCTGGGAAGAACTGAGCTGATCAGAGACAGGATCCCCTGCTGCTTAGCTTGGCAAGGGGCTGTGGAGTGCAAAATGAAGAGTCTATGGCAATCAGGCAGATTGATTCTCCTCCTTTTCTTCCAGATTTAGCTCTTCTCTTATCACAAGGAAAACGGATCTATGCCAGCATGATTAATACCCAGAAACTCTTTGCACAACTCCACAGTCCTGAGAAACAGCGCTAGTATTTCAACCAGAGACCTGAAGGAGAAAAAAGAGTCTAATAGATCAGATGGATTGTTCAAACTCATGAGCCAAATTCATCCCAGGTGTCAATGTGATTAAAGCAGGGATGAATTTGCCCCACTGTGCCCAAACTCATGACATTGTGTTTTGTGTTATGTCCCCTTCTCCTTATGTGCCTTTAGCCACTGCTCTTATTCAGTCTTTGGCTCCCTGATACCAGCATGTCTGGCCCTGGAAATGTTTTCTGCATAAAGGACTGCAATAGTATAATGTACATAATGACAAGGGATATTGAAAAATCCCCCCATAACTGAGGGAAATGATAACTTTAGAAGAAAAGTGCCAAAATGTTATAGAAATAAATGACAAACACCAGAACATTAGGCAGGATAGTGAGCTATGTAATGTATCTTTAACAGTGTGGAGTTCATACAATGTCATATCTAGAAAAAATTTGGAAAAATTGAGGGATTATAAAGAGGAGAGAATTTCTAAAATTAGAAGCCTCTTATTAGAGCTTTAACTCCCCCTGTTGTTGGGAATATTCTTCTCGGCTGAAGGACAGAAATCCCTTTTGATTGCTGTGAAAGATCTTTGTGCTGTACGCGATCTAGGAAATGTTCAGTTCCTTTAATTGGTAGTTTGGCTTTTTGCTGCTCCTCCTCATTTTAGCTTTTCAGTGATCCCAAAACAGCTTAACTATAGCAGGGTAGTTTCCAAACCCCTCCAGTATATTTCCTTTTTCTCTTCAGAGCAGTACCAGCTTCCATGCCCATGTCCCTTGTTTGACCTGGATGCTTCCTGCTGTTTGTTTTGGTTCCAGTGCCAGCCTGAAGGTGCTAGAAACTGGACCACAGGCCATTCGATGAACAATGGGAGCCTTTATACCAAGAAAGTCTTAAAACGTTCCACAGTGGTGGCTCTTGGGGCCCATATTCTTTAATCCTCCAACTTCTGATGGCTCCAATGAGATTTCACCAACTGGGAGAAATCTCAACCAAAGATAAGGACATTTGAAAAGAAAATAGAGCATATTTTAATCAAAAAAAGCTCTAGCTTTCTTTTTCTTGTTAAGTAGCTCATCAGTGAGATTTTGTCACAGACCTATTAGGATTTTCAG